CACATTCACCTTGAAATAATATTAGTAAAATAATATTTTAGATAAATAAAATAAAATAAACAAATAACTTATTTGATTAGTTTTTTTAAGATCAAAATGTTAATTAAAGAAAATCAAAATAAAACGGCATATTGGATAGAGACAATTCATAAAAGAATAAGATCTTTCGAAACAAAACAACTATACAAACTACTCCCTCCATTTTGAAATATAAGGCATTTAAGGTTATTGCACAAATATTAAGGAGATATTAATTAATGAATAAATTGACTAAATTAACCTTATTTACTCTAATCACAACCACTCCACACTTCCTTAATTTCAACACAATGAGGGCATATTTGGAAAAAAATGCAAAAATTTGTCTTGATTTTTGAGCGCGCCTTATATTTCAAAAAAAATGAGAAATCTTTATACGCCTTATATTTCAAAATGGAGGGAGTAGTATTTACCAGTAAATACTATTTAATGTATTACAATCAATTATAGTCTATCTATTAACTAACTGACTATTTGCTATCCCTATGCTATCCATACTATACGTCATGGGCTAATATAATAAACAAAGTCATCATATANATTTTTTATCTTGGCAGATGATTAACCAACACCTATTTATTTATTACTAAAAGAATCACTCTTTCGTATCTTTTGAATGGTGAGATAAAATTTCACAGAAAAATGATATGGAATGCACCTCAAGTAGTTATTTTGAAAGCATAAACTTTTGGAAAATGCTACAATCCCGTTACGAAACCATTCCATTGGGATTGTAACCGTTAGATCATCAAGTAACCGTCAATGATAATTGATCTAACGGTTACAAATCCCAACGGAATGGTTCCGTAACGGGATTGTATATTCCGGAAAATTATGACGTCAAATGTCAAGAATTGATACTCCCTCCATTTTGAAATATAAGGCATTTAAGGTTATTGCACAAATATTAAGGAGACATTAATTAATGAATAAATTGACTAAATTAACCTTATTTACTCTAATCACAACCACTCCACACTTCCTTAATTTCAACACAATGAGGGTATATTTGGAAAAACATGCAAAAATTTGTCTTGATTTTTGAGCGCGCCTTATATTTCAAAAAAATTAAGAAATCTTTATACGCCTTATATTTCAAAATGGAGGGAGTATCTTCTAACTTTTGGTTTAACTAGAGCTAATCTAGGCTTTAGATTAATTTTTCATTACCTTTGTTTTATAATATATAATATCTATTTGGAGGCATTGAACATGACAAATTATTCTTCGAGAATTGTGTCTTAATAAATCAAACTTTTTTAATGTTATTTCCTTGGATCCGTTTCTCCTTATTATTTTATGCCCATAGATTAACACTAAAATTTCTTCAATCATGTAATCCGCTTTTATAATTAATGAATGCTACAATTTAAAGCATGTGATTTGGCATTAATATGGGATTAGCATGTTTCTTGATCTACATAAGCATCAAATTCAACGTCCCCAAGTGTCATGTTGAGGTTAATTCGAACCGTTAGATATTGACACGAGTTTGTGAACACGTGTTATCTGACGGATTAGAATCCATAAGCGGCAAATTCAACTTAATTGTCTGCCCATATTGAAGTTCGAGTCGTTAATAAATCAACAAAATTTGATTGCAAGATGTTAAATCCGCAAAATTTGAATGCAAGTCTAATCTAGCGAATGGAATTCGGGTAAAGTCTGAAAATTCCTTCCACAAGTAGTGTTCTAATTTTTAAAGCCACCACAAAATAGGTTTATCCAAACCATAGAGAGTGTAATAATTATACCAATTAATTAATGAGTAAATAAATGAACACTAATTAGGTGTTGACAAACATGAGATAATGACTTCACTAACAGCACTTAGACACTAACCCACTAAACTCGGCAATAATTAGCAACTAACAAAGGTAACATGACATCAGCTCATACTACTACTACGAGGTTGTCCAGGTTAAATGCATAGGTGCTTAAACTTGGAATTTTCTTATGTTTTACTCCAAAGTAATTGATATTTTAATAAAAAAGGTTTTCATATATGCATCAATTTTGTCGTTTATCATCCAAAATGGATGAAAAATAAATTAATTCTTAATATAAGAACTAGAAACTCTTCTAGAATGTATGTACTGTTAAATTAATATATTGTATGTACAATTATGATTCATTAATTACCTTCTGAAAATAAAATTATACACTATCATTGTATCATCAGTTCATCACTATACTAAAGTAGCATTTGATATAATTTATAATAATATCATCATATATCATATTTTTAATCTTAGTTATTACATATGCCACTAATTAAATACATATGTTAAACTAATTCCGTCATTCGGTGAAAAATCGGAAAGGGTCGCATGCTCACATGCCATGAGATTTATCTAGTATTTTCAATTGATCATATGATGTACATGATAATGATACTAATATGCACTTTTCTAACATAATATTCAATGATATAATTATGTACCTAGCTAAAAAATCAATATTCGTATTTTTTAATTTAACATATTTTTCTCAGTAATGGTCTCGTATATTAACTTGAAACATGGATTTCTGGTTATTAATTAAGAAATGATATTTACCATGGGAGAGATGGAGATATTACCTCAATTGAATTAGCTAGCCAACCGGTCATATTTGGGCCGGTCCGTTGGACCGAACCGCAAGGACCGCGGTTCGGTCCAGGTTCCAAAAAGAAAAAAAAAATTGTACCGGCGGTCTGGGCCGGGCCGGGTCGGGCCACGGGCGGACCGCCGGCAACGGTTATGTTATGTCTTTTTTTTTTTAAACCGACGGGTCCGAGCCCGAACCGGTCCCAAACCGTCACTTTTTTCGATCCGGGTCCGGGCCTCGTCCATGTGGACCGTGGACCCGGCGGGCTGGGCCCGGACCCGGCACCTGGCCACGTCTACTTAATAATCTAAACTTCCAGAAAATTATGATTAAACCATCACTGTGCGATTCTATTTTTGTATGTCCTTCTGGAAGTCTGTGCAGTGTGAATATAACTAAGTGGACACTAATGAGTGATCATAGGAGTAGTGTCTTAAAATTAAGGTCAAAACACTTGCATTTTTTAAACCAAACAAAATTTTTAATAAATATTAACTGCACACGAAGAGAAAAAGACATGCAATTTAATCTGCAAATTTGTCAACCAAATTGCTAAACTTCTGTTGGCTGTGGTCATCATAAATGAATTTTTATTATCACTAGTAAGATAGGTAAAAAGTAAAATAAAATAAAATAAATCATCCAGGCTAATGGGCATCTCCTGAAAGCTGGAATTGCAAGTTTGCACTAGCAATAGAAAATTCCGATGGACTAAAATATCAACCGGAGGTATCGTGTTTTTTATTACGAGAACAATTGTCACAGGGTCTATCTAGATAGAGGCTAAATTTTTCGCGCCCTTCGCAACCTATGCGGCCTGATTTTCTACAAAATCAGTCAGCCTTCACCATACCTTGATCCTTCGCTCGCCCATACAAGTATAAATCAAGGTTATGCAAACAAGTCGCTCACACGCATGCGGAAGCAAGTAAGTAAAACAGCGACACGCAATATTACGGGCTCACGCCCAACCAATGCACTCTTATAACACAAAGTACAATGGAGACCCTACAACTTGCATACACGGTTCAACACCCCACACTTTTGTGCACGAAGGCACACATACAAGTATACTAATCCGGCCTCACAGAGATTGGACTTACACACGCACGCTATAACACTTTGGCGTATGCCAACTCACGCACCCACTAGTATACAATACACAGAATCGCTCGCACACTAGCTCGCACTTCTGTTTTGCCTTGCCTTGCACCCTGGTGTTTAGCACTCAATGCTTTTCTGAGTTCTCAAAGTGTGTATCGTGGTCACTCGCTTGATCACGATCTCGAGTTCGCTATCTCGCGCTCGTCTCCCCGCGTAAAAACCCTCAACGGCCTACTTATAAACCTCGGGTACAACAGTCCCCCAACCGCTTGGTAACTGCTCGGCAGTTATGTTTAACTGCTCCTTGCCACGTGCTCACATCATCCTGATGCCAACTTAACCCATGCAACAACGGTCGGCAACTGTCATGCACATATGTCCATCGCGCGGGTCAATAACCATCGTGCCACGTGCCCCTTGGAACCGCCAGGACACGTGTCATCCCGCTGCACTCATTCGGCCATGCATACTCGAAGGAATCCCGCATAGGCCACGTGGTAATAACCGACTAGTACATGTACGACTGCCCCTTTCAAATTCCAATCGTTCCCGCCAACGGATTTAGACGCGGCGCCAACACTCGCGCGCGCCCATCGAGCAGCATCGTCCGTAGCACTCTCATGCCCGAACTCGCCTAAGTCCAACCATGTCTTGGTTAATTAGCCAACACCCTCGTCCGAGTTCATCCGTGCACTTGGACGTTGCCCTTGTCCGCGTCTTACCCGACAAATATGCGAAGCTCCGCGCTGTTCCGCATCTTACCGTCCCGAGTTATCCCGCATACCCGCAAGGCCATGCACAACCCGCGGTAATCCTCGTCCGACCAAGCCCTCGACTTAACCAACCAACATGATCCGACCAACACTTGGACAAATATGGCTAAGTATCGCACATATGTCTTCGTCGCCCCATGAAGACCCGACTAAACTAACAATCCAGCCACAAGAACGCGCCCAGCTCACGTCCTTCCCTTAGTCGACGCCTCGCACGTTTGTGCTCGGGTCACTTGGACCTTGACATGCTAAGGGATCATGTCAAGTCCTGGGTCTCAATGTTACCCCTGTAACAACAATACACACACATAATATGTGTAAACATATATGATCCAAAAATAACATTTAAAAAAAAAAGATCGAATTTGATCCCATCTGACATTCAAACCATCTGTGCCATTTATCAACTTCCTTCTATCAACACATGATCACAATCAATAATTATTGCACATAATAAATAATTTGTTTTAATTCCAAGAGAAAAGATTAAAACTATGCTGCCAATTTGAGGAGTAATCATCTAATACTGATCTTCAATAGACCATGAAGTCACTTAAAAATATACATATCTAACAGTAGAAAGTTCACAATTTCAAATCTAACATACTAACAAAAAATACTAAAAAATTTACTCTTACATTCACCTAAAAACTCTTATCTCCTCCTGTGACGAAGAATCCCATTTTTACCCTTGGAACCCTTTTGCGAGAATTTCGAACTTCTGTTCACACGAATATGATCGTGTAGCAAATTATGACGAAATTCGATACTATTCTTCAAAGCCCTTTTCCCGTGCAAGTGACCCGAAAGCTCCACTCGTGCTCGATGGTTGGTCGGCCTTAAAGACTTCCTCAAATGCTCGACTTTATAATTTCTCCTTCGACTAAAACGTGATCCTCTGTGATCAAAATAACTATCAATAGACTTATCTTCTAATTCGTACTCATCATCCTCACTAGAGATATATGGGCTCGTTTGTCCATCAAATTCTTCAATGTCCTTCTTTCTCCTTCTCCTTTTACGCAATCTCCTTATCGTTCGTAACTTGTAACATAAATACGAGCAGCAAAAATCGAACGAGGAGAAACAAGTGGAAAAACAAGCCCACGTTATTCTAAAGAGCGTGCGGCAAATGCATTGGCAGATTCCAAGATTGTACAATAGGTATAAGAATAAGAGCACTGCATATGATTGAGTTATTATCAATTCAAAAGGAAACTAAGTGCAAAAAATTCGGCAAGAAATTGCTTGAATTCTAAGAAAAGCTACACATAATGTAGATGCTCGGATGAAATTATATGTTACCGGCTAAAGATTCACGGGATGCAACCTTTCGGGTTTGGTTTGATTCGAGGGGATTATTTGTAATTCGTAAAAATTGGGGGAAAAAAATTAAAAAACTCACCGAAATACACCAACATTGCCACCATAACAAATTTGAGCAACTGAGCAACACAGAAATTTTCGATGTAACAGATGAAATCCCATGTTGGAGCACATACAGAGCTGTGCCAAAATGGAATAAATAAATAAATAAAAAAGCTTGTCTTTTCTCTTTTGTCATTACACAATCACACTAATACATTTTACATCTTCATAGGAAAACCTCATTATAGTAATAAGCATAGATTATCATAAAAAATTTCAAAACAGAGGTGCAATTTAATTTATTAAGCGCTGCTCAATCAAGATGAACTATGAAGAAATTGAACCAAAAATCCAATTATTAAGAAATTTATAATGACTTACCTTTTAGGCTAAACGACCTAAAATTTGAAATTCGATTTCCTCTTTCAGATCATTCACGAACTTGACAGTCGGAATGTTAACACTGGGAGAACCATTTTGCCCTTTTTACAGGTCACCTATTCCATCGTGGATAGTATCTCAGGCGATCGGATCACTTGACCCAATCGATCTTTTGGGCTCCTCTCGGCCGGTTATCACCCCCATCGATCTTTTGGGCTCCTCTCAGGCTCTATGTTGGTAGATGATTCGGACTCTACAGTTGGGCTGGTTTTGTTGGGCTTATTATGCTGTGATGTCGTGTGCCGGGCCTTTATTAAAAGGGATAGTCACAGGGTCATTTCCTTTCAACACTTTTTTTGTTTAAATAACCCCATTCAAGAAATAAATATAAATAAGTAAGTGAAATACCTAAAATAGCCTTCTTTCAATTATGTAACCAGATTTTGTAAAAAAGAAAAAAAAGAAAAAAAAAAAGAAACGAACAGAAACGGGAAGAGAACAGAGAGCCCAAGAGGGTGGGAATGGTTGGGAAGAAAACTAACTTTCATCCTACACATAAAGTTTGAATTCTATATTGCAAACAAATGTGTTTATAGTGGAAGAAAATTTATCTCTTTTTATTTAGAGAAAGGTGAAAGAAAAATTTGTTGTTGCTAGGATTTTATGTTATTTAATTTTGATAAGTATTTTGGTTTCATATTTGATGATTGATAAGCATGTAGATTTCATATTTTTTATGTTTTTTATGCCTTTCATTTTTTTTTTTTTTTTTTTGGATAATGTTGCATTTGATTGCACATAACGAATGTACAGTCGTTATGTAATATCATAACGAATGTACATTCGTTATTTTGAATATCACTACGAATATACCCTCGTTTTATCTTTTTTTTTATCGTGGTCAGTTAAATACACCTAAACCTTCGATATACGATCCATTATAATAAATGAACTCGAGTTATGGTGTCCCGATTCATATAACGAATGTAGTTTTTTGAAATAACAATACTTGATTTTATTTTTGAAAATTAATATCGATAATGAATTCTCGTTATACGAACTTATAAAATACTAAAACTATACCCATAACGAGAGTAATTTCCTAATAATTTATTGTATAACGAAGATAGAGTCGTTTCGGGTGTTTTTTTGTCCAAAAATAACCATAACGAATGTACATTCGTTATTATGTACTACATAACGAATGTACATTCGTTATTTTGAAAATCACTACGAATGTACCCTCGTTTTCGATTTTTTTATCGCGGTTGATTAAATACATCTAAACCTTCGATATACGATCCATTATAATGCATGAACTCGAGTTATGGTGTCTCGATTCATATAACAAATGTAGTTTACATAAAAATGGCTAAAATTACACCGATAACGAGCTTAATATCTTTATAGTGTGTTATTTTGACGATTGAGGTCTCGTTTAAGGTGGAATTGTTAGGAAAACTATTATAACGATTGTATAATCGTTTTTATTGAAAAAACAATTATACAATCGTTATAGTAATTTTTCGGGATGAAACGCGATTTTTTCTGATTTTTCTATCGAATTACTTCATAAGGCACGTATACTCATGATTCGTGTCATTGGAACGATAGTTTGAAATTGTTGGAGCGTCCAAACACTCAAAATGTAACTCTTTTTTTTAAAACACCAACACTTGTTAATATTTTTTTTAAAAAAAAATATAAATATCATGTTAAATCTTTTTAGATTCTTTATTTTACATAAAAATTGCATAAAATTACACCGACTAAGGAGCTTAATATCTTTATAGTGTGTTACTTGATTGACTAATTTGACAAGTTTGAACGATAGTTTAAAATTGTTGGAGAGTCCAAACAATCACAATGTAACTCTTTTTTCAAAATAAACAACACTTAATATTTTTTTTAAAAAAAATTGTAATATAATTTTAAATCTTTTTAGATTCTTTATTTTACATAAAAATGCCTAAAATTACACCGATAACGAGCTTAATATCTTTATAGTGTGTTATTTTGACGATTGAGGTCTCGTTTAAGGTGGAATTGTTCGGAAAACTACTATAACGATTGTACAATCGTTTTTTATTGAAAAAATGATTGTACAATCGTTATAGTAATTTTCCGGAAGAAAACGCAATTTTTTACAGATTTTTATATCGAATTACTTGATAAGGCATTCATATTCATGATTCGTGTCATTTGAACGATATTTAAAATTGTTAGAGAGTCCAAACAATCACAATGTAACTCTTTTTTCAAAATAAACAACACTTAATATTTTTTTTCTAAAAAAATTGTAATATAATTTTAAATCTTTTTAGATTCTTTATTTTACATAAAAATGCCTAAAATTACACCGATAACGAGCTTAATATCTTTATAGTGTATTATTTTGACGATTGAGGTCTCGTTTAAGGTGGAATTGTTCGGAAAACTACTATAACGATTGTATAATCGTTTTTTCAATAAAAAACGATTGTACAATCGTTATAGTAAATTTCCGGAAGAAAACGTGATTTTTTTCAGATTTTTATATCGAATTATAAAATTTATTATATTATATATTATATTGTATGTTATATTATACTATATATCAGATTTTTGTATACTATATATATTATATTATATATTATATCCTATACTATATATTATATTGTATACTATATATTATATTATATATTATATCCTATATTATATATTATATATTATAACATATGTTATATTATATCATATGTTATATTATATACTATGTATTATATTATATATTATATCCTATAGTAGATATTATATTGTATGTTATATTATAACTATATATGTTATATTATCATATACTATATATTATATTGTATACTACATATTATATTATATATTATATCCTATATTATATATTATTTTGTATATTATATATTATAACATATGTTATATTATATCATATGTTGTATTATATACTATGTATTATATTGTATATTATATCCTATACTATATATTGTATTATATGTTATAACATAATATAACATATGTTATAACATATATGTTATAACAATAGATGTTATATGTTACACTAGTACTAATTTGACTTCAATTGTACTAATTTGACTAATTCGAGTTCGATTACAATATAATTGTCCGAGGTTGTACTAATTGGACCGCAATTGTACTAATTCGAGTTCGATTAAACTATAATTAACCTCAATTGTATTAATTTGACTTCAATTGAACTAATTCGAGTTCGATTACAATATAATTGCCCGAGATTGTACTAATTGGATCTCAATTGGACTAATTCGAGTTCGATTACAGTATAATTGTCCGAGATTGTACTAATTGGATCTCAATTGTACTAATTCGAGTTTGATTACACTATAATTGACCTCAATTGTATTAATTTGACTTCAATTGGACTAATTCGAGTTCGATTACAATATAATTGTCCGAGATTGTACTAATTGGACCTCAATTGTACTAATTCGAGTTCGATTACACTATAATTGACCGAGATTGTACTAATTTGACTTCAATTGTACTAATTTGACTTCAATTACACTATAATTGACCGAGAATGTACTAATTTAACTTCGATTACATTATAATTGATCGAGAATGTACTAATTTGACTTCAAATACACTAATTTGACTTCAATTGTATTAATTTAACTTCAATTGTACTAATTGGACTTCAATTGTACTAATTCGAGTTCGATTACAATATAATTGACCAAGATTGTCCAATTGAAGTCAAATTAGTACAATTTAAGTCAAATTAGTACAATTGAAGTCAATTATAGTGTAATCGAACTCGAATTAGTCCAATTGAGGTCCAATTAGTATAATCTCGGACAATTCTATTGTAATCGAACTCGAATTAGTCCAACTGAAGTCAAATTAGTACAATCTTGGTCAATTGTAGTTTAATCGAACTCGAATTAGTCCAATTGAAGTCAAATTAGTACAATTGAAGTCAAATAGGTACATTCTCGGTCAATTATAGTGTAATCGAACTCGAATTAGTCCAATTAGTATAATCCCGGACAATTCTATTGTAATCGAACTCGAATTAGTCCAATTCGGACTAATTCGAGTTCGATTACACTATAATTGACTTCAATTGTACTAATTTGACTTCAATCGGACTAATTCGAGTTCGATTAAACTATAATTGACTTAAATTGTACTAATTTGACTTTAATTGTACTAATTTGACTTCAATTATACTATTTTGACTTTAATTGGACTAATTCGAGTTCGATTACACTGTAATTGACCGAGATTGTACTAATTTGACTTCAATTGTACTAATTCGAGTTCAATTGGACTAATTCGAAATTTGACTTCAATTGTACTAATTCGAGTTCAATTGGACTAATTTGAGTTCAATTGTACTGATTTGACTTCAATTGGACTAATTCGAGTTCGATTACACTATAATTGACCGAGATTGTACTAATTTGACTTCCATTGGACTAATTCGAGTTCGATTACACTATAATTGACCGAGATTGTACTATTTTGACTTCAATTGGGCTAATTCGAGTTCAATTACACTGTAATTGATCGAGATTGTACTAATTGGATCTCAATTGGACTAATTCGAGTTCGATTAGAATATAATTACAAGAGATTGTACTAATTTGACTTCAATTGGACTAATTCGAGTTATAAATTAAATCTATTTTTATTTTTAAATTCGACTTTTTATTTAAAAAAAAATAAATAAAAAATAAAATACAAAATTAATGGATTTTGAAACAGATTTTGTAAACGGATTTTTTTTAAAAAAATATTTTTTTATACAAAAAAAATTTATATAAAAAATAATTTTTTATACAAAAAAAAATTAAATAAAAAATAGTTTTTTTAAAAAAATTAATTTTTTATACAAAAAAATTATTTAAAAAATAATTTTTTTATTAAAAAAATAATTTTTATAGAATAAAATTAAATAAAAAATAATTTTTTATACAAAAAAATTTAAATAAAAAATATTTTTTTTATTAAAAACGGATTTTGAAAAATCCATTTTATAAATTAGTTTTATAAAAAATATTTTTTTATTATTTTATTAAAAAAATAAAAAAATAAAATTAAAAGAAAAACGAAGGTGCCAAGACGTCGCGACCGCGACATGGAAGTTTTAATTTTTTTTTTTTAAATAACGAGTGTAGATTCGTTATACCATACAAAATGACGATTGTACAATCGTTATTTTGAAACGACTGTATGTCGCGGTAGCGACATGTGTCGCGGGCTCGACACTGGGCCCTGTTCTTGGTCGGACAGAAAATGTTGCTAGGACGTCGCGGCTGCGACGAACGTCGCGCCAGCGACAAGAAAGTTTTATTTTTATTCAAAATAACAAATGTACATTCGTTATTTCATAAAAAATAACGACTGTACAATCGTTATATTGAAACGACTGTATGTCGCGGTAGCGACATGTGTCGCGGGCGCGACACTGGGTCCTGTTCTTGGTCGGACAGAGAATGTTGTTAGGACGTCGCGCCAGCGACAAGCAAGTTTTATTTTTTTTTTCAAAATAACGAATGTACATTCGTTATTTCATAAAAAATAACGACTATACAATCGTTATATTGAAACGACTGTATGTCGCGGTAGCGACATGTGTCGCGGGCGCGACACTAGGCCCTGTTCTTGGTCGGACAGAGAATGTTGCTAGGACGTCGCGGCTGCGACGGACATCGCGCCGGCGACAAGCAAGTTTCATTTTTTTTTTTCCAAAATAACGATTGTACACTCGTTTTTTCAATACTATAACGAATGGATAATCGTTATAGTTGTTTTTCGGGAACAAAGCGCATTTTCTTTATGTTTTTTCCGATCGAATTACTTGATTACTCACGTATATTCATGCTACGTGACATTGGAACGATAGTTTTAAGGTGTTGGAACAAAATTATTATTATTATTTTTTTTTAAATAACAACACTTGTTCTTTATTTTTTGTGTTAAAATGGTTAGATCATGTAAAATGTTTGTGAATTCGTAATTTTACATAAAAAAATGACTCCCCGGAATTAAATCAAGTAACATTTCATTGATGTTAATCAAAAGTAAAAAAAAAAAAAACTGCCAGTCCGCTGCGGGCGCGACGGGTGTCGCGGGAGCGACACTTACGAGGACAGAACCAGTGCTAGGACGTCGCGGGCGCGACTCATGTTGCGAGCGCGACAATTACGGGGAGAACCGCTGCCAGGAAGTCGCGGGCGCGACGCGTGTTGCGAGCGTGACACTTAAGGGGACAGAACCACTCCCAGGACGTCGCTGGCGCGACACCAATTATTTTTTTTAACATGAATAAAAGGTTCCGCGCTTTAATTCCGGAACATTTGAACTTAAAAATGACCAAAATGAGACCCATAACGAGTTTAACATCTTCATAATGTGTTATTTGACGAGTGCACGGTCGGTTAAGGTGCAATTGTTACGAAAAACAATAATAACGAATGTACATTCGTGATTTCAATGGAAAAACGAATGTACAGTCGTTATAGTTGTTATTCGTCCAAAACGCGCTTTATGTATGATTTTTTTTTCGAGTTACTTGATAAAGATTGTATGTTAATGTTACATGTCATTGGAAAAATAGTTTGAAGGTGTTAGAGTGTCGAAACAAATGCACATTAACCGACCGTGAACTTGGCAGATAAATGGGCCTGTTTCTTCTCGGACAGATAACTTGGCAGGATGTCGCGGCCGCGACGGACGTCGCTCCCGCGACAGTGAGGTTTTTTAATTATAACGTTGTACAATCGTGAAGGTCGAGAGGTAGAAGCAAAAAAGAGAGCGAAGGTCGAGAGAGAGAGAGAGAGATGTCGCGAGAGAGGAGGGGATTGAGAGAATGTGGGCGTCGAGTTTTTTTTTTCAGTTGGAAGAAGACAAATAGAACTGAGGGCGAGGTCGTCGAAGAAGAAGAAAGCGAGTGAGGGCGAAATTGAAGAAGGAAGAAGAAAGTGAAGCAGAAGAAGGACGAAGAAGAAAGCCACAGAGAGAGAGAGAGAGCGAGGGAGCCTGCGAAAGTGATGAAGAAGAAATTGAAGGTAGATTAAATTTTGTGTTAAGGGTATATTTGTAAATGATTATTTAATCTGATTACTTATTAAGTTTTATTGTAAAACTTTAGTTAAGGGTCATTTTAACATCTATACTTATATTAAAGGGGATACTATTTACCAAATTAAGTAGTCAGAAAAGTCAACAGTATTTATTGCATTACTATTTCCGTATTATATTATATAAAAGGATATTCTATTTACTACATTTATTATCCAGAAAAGTCAACTGCATTAAATGTCATTACTATTTTGGTATTATAATATTTTATTTATTTAATTGATTTATTTATTTGTTTTATTTTAAAAAGGTAAGTATAATAAAAAGATTTTAATAATAAAAAAATCAAATACCAAATAAAAATGTACACTTTGACTTATTTGATTATATTTGGTATTTGATTATACCAAATATATTCCTATTTAGTATATACATTAAATACTTACTAAAGTATTTATTTGTTTTATTTGTCAAAGTTAAGTATAGATTTGTTTATATTATCAAATCATAAAAAAATATTAAATCCATATTGTAAAAAAAAAAATCATATAATTTTATAACAATTCTACTACACTATTTAACAATATTCCTTTTTTATTATATAATAAAATAATAATTAAATATTATATGGTGAACAACAATAAGTAAAACTGTTACTTTCTCTTATATCAAGGGATAAATTTATATGCTAAAATTAAATTTTTATTAGTATAAATGTTTTAGTGAGATAATATATTAATTATTTTACAAGCTAGCCCTAACATGCTCATATTTAATGTTTTAAAAGATGTAGAAAAAAAAAAACTTATAATAACTCTATTGTTTTTTAGACTTAAACGTTGATTAAAAGAGGTAAAATTCCTAATGTTTTAGACTTAAACGTTAATTAACACCATAGATTGAGAGTTTATATTTAGTAAAATTCCTAATTGTAATAAAAAAAATTAATTTTTGCTATATTTTAGAATATCTTTAAATTCATTATAAAAAAAAAAAAAAAAAAAAAACTACAATGAAAAAAACAAGTCAGCTATATATCGATTTGTTGTACTCCTCAAATCACATTCACAATTTGGCTACAAGGAATGAAACTCATTGATTAAAATATTATTTTGTCAGTAGTCTTAGGGGGTGTATTCAATTCGGAATTTAAGTGACATTTTAAGACTCTTCGAGATTTTAGACTTTCTAAGATTTTCAGATTTTGGAAGAATTCTATGAAATCTCAAGTCCGGAGGTAAGATTTGAAGTGGGATTTCATATAAGGTTTTTTGTTTAGAAATCCCACTAAATCTTAAAAAGTCTTAATAAATCCAAGTGTCAAAAAAATTAAATACCTCAGGATTTTGTAAGACTTTTGAAAATCCCAATTGAATACCCCAGGATTTTTAAAAGTTTTAAAAAGTCTTAACAAATCTAAATTGAATACACCAGAATTTCTAAAGTCTTAAAAAGTCCTTAAAAATCCTAATTAAATACACCCTCTTTAATGTACAAGAGACTTTAAGACTCCACTTGAATATTATAAAATTTTTATTGAACATCGTACAATTTCTTGCGTATTATAAACTTTTATTGAATATTGCATCTTATAATATAATATTCTCCAAATAAATATATCTCGCGGGTCACGTATTATATATATTCCGTACATTTTTCTTTATTCATGTATATAATTATAAGTCTGGATAAATAGCCTTAAAATTGTGCACCTCGTGCATCGCACGGGCTCTGTACTAGTTTTGTATAGTAGAAAGGGTTACTTGGAACAATTCCCACGTAATAGTTTTGTTTAATTAAGGAGCTCTTTGTTGGGACTTTGAAAATCTAGATTGATTGGGCTTAATCATTATTTATACAGGGAAAAGGTCTCCCATCACCAGTCATATCCACCCACCTACCCAACGTTGTATTTAGCGTCTCTTTCCTTCTCCTCCCTCCCCTACCCAATACCCCGATCTGCAGCCGCCGCCGCCACCGGGCAATTACCGGCCAATTGTAATTGGATTTTCGCCCAAAATTACCGGCCAAATTGGTACGGATCTTCTACCCAATACCCCGATCTGCAGCCGCCGCCGCCGGGAAATTACCGGCCATTTGGATATGGATTTTTGCCGGAAATTATCGGATAACTTGGTACGAATCCTCTATCCCTCACTCTATTGCATTCAAAATTAACAAATAACAGCTCAATTGAGCAACTTCTGATTCAAGGCCTTGTCTTTCGTTACTTTTCATATTAGTTCTTGGAATATTTCATTATTTTTTTTTATCAATTAAAAGTTTTTTTATTCAGATCTGAGGTTATGTTAATTAAAGATTTCATCTTCTTAAATTACGGATAAAAATCACATCTTTACTCATTTTACCGACCAATTAGATATGGAGTTTTGCCGGAAATTATCGGATAACTTGATACGGATCCTCTATCCTCACTCTATTACATTAAAAATTAACAAATAACAGCTCAATTGAGCAACTTCTGATCCAAGGCTTTGTCTTTGGTTACTTTTCGTATTATTTCTTGGAATATTTCATTATTTTTTTATCAATTAAGAGTTTTTTATTCAGATCTCAGGTTATGTTAATTAAAGATTTCATCTTTCTTAAATGACGGATAAAAATCACATCTTTACTCATTTTAGATATAGATCTACTATTCTTCTCGATTCCTTTTCCATTTATCTGTTAGTAAGATTACTAAATATTCGTATTTTGTTAATTTGGATAATTAAGTTGTATTTGAATCTGTTCTTGTTTCAATTTCCTTCTTTCTCTATTCTTTCGGTTCGAGTTCCTTCTTTCTCTATTCTTTCAGTTAAAGTTTTGATTTTTATGCGCGAATAGGAGTTGATATCCACATCCTCCGCAATGTTTTTNCTTCATCTATTTTCTGAAATATTAATGAGTGTTCTCTTCTGAGGAATGGGTCTTTTTTTATCATTATTTTGATCAGTGTTTAGTTTTTTGGGTTATGATTGATTGATTCATATTTTGAAAATTTTTGCTTGTGAATTCTATATTTAACTTCCTGATATGTTAGATCTGTCGATTTGCCAGGCTGATGGCAGAGCATCAAAAGAGTAAATCTTCAGACACAGTGAATGGGAAAAGACTCCGAATTTAGCCACGAATCGAAACAAAACGAGGGTAAGGACGTTCGAGAAAGCACCAGATGTTTGGATTTTGGAATTAGGAGAAAAGCTCCGTGAGCTGACGAGCTTGAAGAAAGTACTCGCAGGCAAGGGGTTGGCCCTGCAGGGCCTGCAGGAGCACAGCTCAAATTGGCCCAAAAGGAGGTTTCCATCTGAAAAAACAAGCTCACGCAGGACTGTATGACGAGGTACATAAAAAACCTGACTGAAAGGGATCAGGAAATCCGGGGGTGGACAAAACGTTATCTTAAGAAAACGTGCGGTTGAAATCGGAGATGACGAAACTCGCCAAAGAACGGGAGGCACCAAATGCTCGGAATCAGGAGGTTAAGGACGTTCGAGAAAGCACCAAATGACCAAATGTTCGGAATCAGGAGAAAAGCTCGTGAGCTGGAAGTGAAAGTGGCGAGCTTAAAGAAAGAAAGGACTTGGGAGCAACTCAAATGGGCCCAAAAGGAGGTTTCCATCTGGAAAAACAACCTGACCAAAAGGGATCAGTAAATCCGGGGGCTTTAGGAGGCAAACAAAACTTTATCCCAAGAAAACTAGCGGTTGAAATCGGAGTTTACGAAAGTTGCAAAAGAAGGAAAACTCTGAAGGAATTCGATTTATGGTGAGGAGGAAAGGAAGCGAGACATAGGTCTTGTTTGGGATTCAGATCAAAGTAATGAAGAACGAGATTAGTACTGGAAGGATGAAACACGAGACGCTAAATGGCTGTGAAGTCGGAGGTTGATGATGCTCAGGTTGGCAACATGAGGGAGCACCTGAGTCAGCAGCACATTCAGCACGCCAAGCTGATGGCTGATGTTGATGTGGCACGATAGTCGACTGAGGATTTGAGGTCGAGAGTGGGGTAGCTATGAGGGAGGGAGGTCGGCAGAAAGGAGGAAGCTGCTTTACTTGAAAGGGGAGAGGCTATTTATTCGGCAGCTTTGCTTCTCGCTCGAGCACTACTGCACGGGGTACCACGAGCTTCGGCAGGCAGTCAGGGGGGCACATATGAGACCTGTTATGTTGGCTTGAGTTGCGTGTGGCAAATATTTTTCTCAGGATGAAGCAATTCAAGCCCACAGGAAGGACTGCACAAAGGCATTCAGGGAAAAGAGTAGGCAGGAGGCTAAATGAGCCAAGGAGGCTGCTAAGCTGGCCCAAGAGAAGGCCAAAGGCCCAGGCCAAGGCCCATGCCAAGGCCCATGCCCAGGCCCAAGAAAAGGCCAAAGCCAAGTGGGCCCAAGCCTGGGACCAGGTTAAGGACCATGAGGCCAGTACCAGCACCACCACTTGAGACTACTTGGTATGCAATGTTAAGACTACCTTGCAAATGCAAACTTATGATTGAATTGTTATGACTCTATTTGCAATTGCGTGCTGATGCAATTACTTTAAGACTATTGAATTGACTATTTTAGACTGTTGGGCTATGATCTTGCATTATGTGAACTCCTATGTTGTGTTGGTGTGTGACTTTTGCATTTATGACATGATTGGTTGTGGTACTTTATGATAATTTGAAACCCTGATTGGCTGATTGTGCATATGTGTTTTTTTTTTTCAATATTGTGATTATGAAAGGAGAAGAAATGGAAAATTACATAACATATAGCCTCCTCCTCAGTTATAGCTTCACCATCTTAGCTTTTTTTGGCCTCCTCCTATCATCAGTCCTGCAAAACAAATCAAGTGTAATTCAACAAACCATTTGAAAGAAGTGAGGATGAAACACGAGACGCTAAATGGCCGTGAAGTCGGAGGTTGATGATGCTCAGGTTAGCGACATGAGGGAGCACCTGAGTCAGCAGCACATTCAGCACGCCAAGCTGATGGCTGATGCTGATGTGGCACGATAGTCGACTGAGGATTTGAGGTCGAGAGTGGGGTAGCTATGAGGGAGGGAGGTCGGCAGAAAGGAGGAAGCTGCTTTACTTGAAAGGGGAGAGGCTATTTATTCGGCAGCTTTGCTTCTCGCTCGAGCACTACTGCACGGTACCACGAGCTTCGGCAGGCAGTCAGGGAGGCACATATGAGACCTGTTATGTTGGCTTGAGTTGCGTGTGGCAAATATTTTTCTCAGGTATGGTTTTCTTGATAAGGTCCATTTGTGTGAAAAAAATCTGTACATTTGTGCAGACATAGGTCGTTTTTTGGGTACCGGAAATGCGTTGATGCAAGGTTTTGTTGTGGACTTGAATGGGTTTTTGTTGTTTTGGAGAGAATAAAGGAGCTAATAGGTCTTGCTAAGACATACTTTCAAATGGTTTGTTGAATTACACTTGATTTGTTTTGCAGGACTGATGATAGGAGGAGGCCAAAAAAAGCTGAGATGGTGAAGCTATAACTGAGGAGGAGGCTATATGTAATGTAATTTTTCATTTCTTCTCCTTTCATAATCACAATATTGAAAAAAAAAAACACCTATGCACAATCAGCCAATCAGGGTTTCAAATTATCATAAAGCACCACAACCAATCATGTCATAAATGCAAAAGTCACACACCAACACAACATAGGAGTTCACATAATGCAAGATCATAGCCCAACAGTCTAAAATAGTCATATCAATAGTCTTAAAGTAATTGCATCAACACGTAATTGCAAATAGAGTCAGAACAATTCAATCATAAGTTTGCATTTGCAAGGTAATCTTAACATTGCATACCAAGTAGTCTCAAGTGGTGTGGTGCTGGTGATGCTGGTACTGGCCTCATGGTCCTTAGCCTGGTCTCAGGCTTGGGCCCACTTGGCTTTGGCCTTTTCTTGGGCCTGGGCATTTTTGGCCCTTTCTTTGTCCTGGCTAGCTTTTTCTTCGGCCTTCTCTTGGACCAGTTTAGCAGTCTCCTTTGGCCCATTTAGCCTCCTGCCTACCCGTTTCCCTGAATGCCTTTCTGCAGTCCATCCTGTGGGCTTGAATTGCTTCATCCTTAGGATTTTCCATTTTGACATTGCATTTTCCACATTTGAAAGTGACCATCTATGAAAAATAATGAAATCATATCAAAAATAAAGTAGCCCATTTTGAATTTTCTGAGAAAAATAAAATTAGAAATGATAAATTGGAAAATGATTAAAAAAAGAGTGGGGAGTGAATACTAATCCTAAAATAAGGTTACCGTAGAAATCATATCAAAAATGGGGTGCAATAGCCCAAATCATAATAAATTGGAAAATGATTAAAAAAGAGCCCTAGGGGACACTTCTCCTAGAATAATCCTAAAATAATGGAAGGGGGAGTGAATAAAAATCCTAAAATAAGGGGATGGGGAGTGAATAAAATGAACAATGGCACTACTCCCGAGTATATTAATTAATTTTAAAGATTGAAAGAGCAAAATAGGGAAAGATCTGTTGCGTTTTTGGATCTTGATTAATTAATATTAAAGATTAAAAGAGCCCAACCTTTCCGTTTGGAGCTGCTCCAAAAATGGCCGCCGTGAAAGTAAGTGAGTGAGTGTTGGGGATGGAGATTGGAGGGTAAAGTTGTTTGTAGGGTTTAGAGAAATGACAAAATCATCCTTCAGTAAAAATACACAGTAAAGTAAAGAGTTGGAGAGGACTAAATTACTGAAAAGAGACAAAAAAATGAGTAGAAATGCCCAAACTATGCTTTCAGGGAAGTACATGTATATAAATAAATGCATTTCTATTTATAATTAACAACTTTTAGCTCTTCAATATAGAATGGATAATGATGTAATTGAACAAATATATTACTACACAATTTGTTTTTCACTACCACCCTATCTTCATATTCTTCTCCCATATGTTTTCTTAAAATGATATTCTCTATTCCCGCATATTTTTCTTTTTCTTTATGCTATTTCTTACCACCAAAAGATCCTTATTTTTTTCTCTTATGTTCATAAAAAAAAAAAATCATTAATTACATAATGTAATAATACGGATATAGGGCACCTAATGAACTAGAAAATTATGTGAAGATTAGAGCAAACATAACATAACATCCTAAAAGCTGATTTCATTATTTTATCTAAATGAAAGAACAAACCGAGTTTGAGCAATTCCAGCTCGTGTTTAATTATTTTCGAACATTATTCGTATTTGTTCGTTTATTATTAGAGCGAAATTTCGTTAGTAAACAAACTTTTTTAAGAATTGTTTAATCAACTCAAATATTTGTTTGTTTGAATTTGTTCAGCACTGGAAGTAAAAATATTATGATATTTATTATTAGCAATATAAAATTATATTGAATTTGTTATCATATCTGTAAATATCTTGTAGTATATTTGGTGAATATTTAATAGGCTTTAGTTAGAGAGTTTCGTATAGCGCAAGTTTTCCTTATATTGTGATTAGGTCTTGTGATTGGTGGCTATATAAAGTCCTCTCTAATATACTGATCTTCAATAGACCATGAAGTCACTTAAAAATATACATATCTAACAGTAGAAAGTTCACAATTTCAAATCTAACATACTAACAAAAAATACTAAAAATTTTACTCTTACATTCACCTAAAAACTCTTATCTCCTCCTGTGACGAAGAATCCCATTTTTACCCTTGGAACCCTTTTGCGAGAATTTTGAACTTCTGTTCACACGAATATGATCGTGTAGCAAATTATGACGAAATTCGATACTATTCTTCAAAGCCCTTTTCCCGTGCAAGTGACCCGAAAGCTCCACTCGTGCTCGATGGTTGGTCGGCCTTAAAGACTTCCTCAAATGCTCGACTTTATAATTTCTCCTTCGACTAAAACGTGATCCTCTGTGATCAAAATAACTATCAATAGACTTATCTTCTAATTCGTACTCATCATCCTCACTAGAGATATATGGGCTCGTTTGTCCATCAAATTCTTCAATGTCCTTCTTTCTCCTTCTCCTTTTACGCAATCTCCTTATCGTTCGTAACTTGTAACATAAATACGAGCAGCAAAAATCGAACGAGGAGAAACAAGTGGAAAAACAAGCCCACGTTATTCTAAAGAGCGTGCGGCAAATGCATTGGCAGATTCCAAGATTGTACAATAGGTATAAGAATAAGAGCACTGCATATGATTAAGTGAGTTATTATCAATTCAAAAGGAAACTAAGTGCAAAAAATTCGGCAAGAAATTGCTTGAATTCTAAGAAAAGCTACACATAATGTAGATGCTCGGATGAAGTTATATGTTACCGGCTAAAGATTCACGGGATGCAACCTTTCGAGTTGGGTTTGATTCGAGGGGATTATTTGTAATTCGTAAAAATTGGGGGAAAAAAAATTAAAAAACTCACCGAAATACACCAACATTGCCACCATAACAAATTTGAGCAACTGAGCAACACAGAAATTTTCGATGTAACAGATGAAATCCCATGTTGGAGCACATACAGAGCTGTGCCAAAATGGAATAAATAAATAAATCAAAAAGCTTGTCTTTTCTCTTTTGTCATTACACATCACACTAATACATTTTACATCTTCTTCATAGGAAAACCTCATTATAGTAATAAGCATAGATTATCATAAACTTTACTTGCAGGATTTTCCGGACAGGAACTCAAGAGGATGGCCGAGGAGTTTGTCGATGGCTCGACCCAACCCGGAAAAAAACGACCCGACCACATTCCCCATGGATGAATGATAACTGGTTTACGCCCAAAATTTTGCCATAGTTTGGAGTTGAAAGTGTGAATGAAATACTGGAAAATGTAAATGAAATGAGGATTTATTTCGAATATTTCAAAGAAGAAAAAACTGAGAAGAAAATGGCGAGGGCCATCTCCCTTCACTTTGCAACTGTCTCGGATTTGTGTGTAATTATTTCTGTAAGCCCAAGCCCATGAGGGTATGATTGGGCCATGCCCATTTTCAATTTTGTTTTTTTTTTGGTCCCTGTGTTTGTTTTTGTTGAAAACGGTATGCTGGTTATAATTCTTATAATAAATAATAATAATAATAATAATAATAATAATAATAATAATAATAAAAAACCGTGTGCTACACGGTTTGAATGTATATATTTTATTGCAATTGTAAAAAATTATAAAAGAGATAACAATTAATGTTAGAGAACTAAATAAAGTGAAACAGTTTTGCTATGAATGTTGGCTCTACTATGGTATGATTTACTTGTTGTATATAGAAGGTTAGCTCCACTATTGAACCAACTATTGATTTCATAGAAAAATTATAAAACAATAATTTGTAAAACTAACTTACATACAACATGTGTAGCTTATTGTAATACTTTTATTCAAATACAAAAATAATAATGCGGTTAGAGGACACAATTTAGAAAGTGGAATAATATGTGCATTGTAGAAATAACTAATAAAAGAATAAATAGATTTACATGGAATAATTTAAATATGGTAACTATGTGTAGTTATGGCAATTCAAGCTTAAATTATTTTGTTTAAAAGGTCAGTAAATTTTATTCGAGCCATAATACAAAAATATATTATTTTGCCAAATAAAATTATAAACATGTGAACTGTCATTTAAGTTTTACGCGTTCTAAAAACATATATAAGGATTCCTATTCAGTTGTGGAATATCTGTGAGAAATAAATAATTAAGAAGTTTAATATAATATAACTCGTACTCAATTGTCGCATATCTATGAGAATTCGACAGGTCGATTCTGTGGTGCTTGCCTCTGGTCGCCAGCCCTATGTCCAGAACTTCCACCGTGAATCTGAGAATCAAACAAGGAGGTTGTGTTGCGAAGACCTTCTTCCTCGGGCATCATAGCTTGAAATTCATTCTTTGTTGGTGAAGAAGAATGATTTTGTGCGAGAGAGACCATCTTTCTGGACCGCTAGAAAATGAAGGAGACGATTGAGATTTGCGTTGAATCAAGGATTTTTTTGATAAGACAATGCATCTGTATTTTTATTTTGAGTAAATAGCTTTTACAGCTGTATAAAGTGGTTGGCCGACAAAAACTAATTGCACTCTCCAGATGGGATCCACGGGTTAAATGATTTTATATCCAAGCAGCGTTTCTACATTAAAAATCCGAATATCCCCGAACAAAATTTGTATCCATTCATCACCTTAGTATTCTTTGTCGCAACATACGTTTTACAATCCATAGAACCTAACCCCTCGTTTGTTTTTCAGGATGGGATTGGACAATTTAGTCCAATGGGGAAGGATTATACTGTTGGGATTGGACTATTCCTGTGTTTGTTATATATGATAAGGAGGTAGGATAATTTTAAATTAAAAAATTAAAAAAAAATGTGTAGGTGGTGTAAAATACTATTTTATCCCTTTCAAATAAATCAAAAATAGTCCAAAAATTATTAAAATGGTGGTAAAATAGAAATTTACTACAACAGGATAAGAATAATCCCACCTATTTCCTAGGATTAGTTTATCCCATGTATGAGGGATTAAACCATTTTTATACCAGGCCGATGAGATTCCTGCGGGCTTTAGTCCCATGAACCAATTGCAAGATTAGGTCTGGATTAAGCGGGATATCCTGCCTAATCCCACCAAACAAACATGCATTAAGGGTACAGTCACATATGAGATACATATATTTTAAATTTTTAATTGAACATAGGTATTTTTACCCATCAACATTGGTTAACACCGTAAAACCACAATCCACAAATTGAATAGCTTGCTTT